AAGCAGGGGATAGAGACAATGCGCTACACATCACTGCTTCACGCAGCACAACATCAGAACGGGACAACTATCTTTTGAAATTTTGAAAGAAGCACATTGTGCTGATGTGGAATTCCCATACTATCTATGATGCTATCTTAAACAAACTCCAGAATGCGAAATGTAGCAACTGGACTTAATAAAACATAACAAGAACGTACAAAGATTACAACATCAAACAACAACAAATTACCGATTAGTATCATAATTGATCCAAGCGATGTCGTTTCGGTTGTGAGTAGTAGCCAACCGGGTATCGCGCTGCAGCATTCGGTGCAGTAATGGTTGGGGCCATGGCTGGCTTTTGATCTTGTAGCCACCGTACTTGAGTAGCTGGTCCATAGCCCTACACATATAGCAGATGATTCAAGAATTCCTTACTCAGAAGACATGGACTCCTAACGAAAACTGTTGTAACTGGAACTATTCGAAACCTTTTCGTTTCTTGCAGCTATCCTGAAGATAATGGCTGGTTTTGCGCTCTGATCGACGAATGCTGCGGCTAGACTAGATTGGTTCACGATGCATTCAGGATCAACTCCGACGTATACCCTAAAGGGCGTACTTCCAAGAAATTTTAAGCTCATATAACCATATACTGCTCTTTAAATTCAATGCAACATTCACCTATAATTCTAGTACACGCAACATGACCTAACTCACCTCATGAATGCAAGCTGATTGTCACTGGTTCCCGATGTGTTGCGAACAGCCAAGTAAACGCTGTATTCAGAAATCCGGCCTGAAATCGACTCCTTTTCTTTAACAACTGCCCAAACAGACACGCAATAACACTACAAAAGGAACGGTACTTAGTCATTGTAGCAAACCAATCCTTTTAGCAAACCGAAAAAACCTTTTCGATTCTACCTAGTTTCCTAGTTATACTCTACTCGAGAATTTGACTGCACAGCCTTCTACCTGCAACGTTCTGGGGTGGTTCCCAGGTCAACTGGGCACCTTCTTGTCCTTTTGTTATTTTGATTGAAGATGGAGCTCCAGGGAAGCCAGGAAGACATGTCTATAACATAGTCTTATACTATAAATGCTGTCTCACTTTGTAAACAAAGAACTATCAAAAAAAAAAAGAAGATAAAAAGTCCGATAGTCACCTTGAAAGCCGAGATTTCACTCCAATTTCCTCGCCCGATAGAGTTAATACCAGCTATTCTGAACCGATAAGCTGTCCCGGGCTCCAATTCCGCTTTACGAAGGAAGTTGACCTGTCCTGCATGCATACCGACGTCGAAGTCGTTCTATAAAATGATTTCTGAACCTCGAAGCCAAAAAAAAAAATCACGAAGCAAATAAATGAACTATTTGGTAGATATTTCTTTGCTAAAGCTTTTTAAAAGGGCTTAAAATTGAAAAGTCATGAAAAATATATAGCCAACCAACAAATTCAGTAGGAAGGTCTCATATGTGCGTGTTTCAAGCATTAAAGCTTATACGAACTAACATACTCGGCAGCACCACTCGTTCCCTATTACCACCTTTCGGTTTTATTTGCTCATACATTGCCTGTACTGCATCTGGCTCACTTGACTGTAATTGGAACTTTAATTTTTATTACTCATTAATTTTGAATGAGCACAGAGCTCCCCAACTTCCGATCCTGCCCAACAGTCCATAATTTTCGATAATCCTTATCAATGCTTGTGGTTTTCGAGCGAAGTCCTACTAGGTTACATTGCTACGTCCACATAGATGAATAGAATAGAATACATGCACTCGAAACAGGTCGTATCCCGGTTCACGAACGCATACCGGTACTACTGTGAGCGCTAAGACGAAGCGCGTTCCTACAAACTGATGGCTCACGACAAAAAGTAACAATCTCTTCGCTTTTTACTACTCTTGGATATGGCAATGTTCAATGTATCATTGTATTCTATTAGCTGGAATGATTTGCAATAGTAAGTGGTATTTAGTTGAGTAAAAAATCTTTTAACGTTAAATTTTCCACTAACATGACAAAGTCTGATAAAAAGGTACTACTAGTTTGAATGGAAGTTTTCATAAAAACTAACTTACCCCAAATGTGCTTTCCAGTGATTGCTCGCCAGGCAAAAAGTAATGAGTAACAAGGCATGACGTCCCCTTGATTATGCCTACGTCATGCCACTGTTCCTCTTCTGGACCTTGCTTCACAGCCTGGTAAACTGGCGCTACATGATTTCCAGCAGGAGATTCGGATGGTTCACGTTTGGTACATGAATTGAAATTTTGCTCGTTGGTGGTCGCCATTTGTTGCGATGTCTGCGACGTACTGGGAGTGGGCTGCTCAAAGGAGTGTTCTCCACTGTTCTCCCCTTGAGAAGGTTGCGATGCTTGAGGAGTGGGCAGAGGAGGATCTACCGGAAGCGATGACATCTTAACAATTGGGTAATATTATCACAATGAATAGACATCACTGAGGATACAAATATCTGCTATACCTGGTTCTGAATTTGTTCATGATTACTTAGCGGCTGCCCTTGCGATGAATTCTGAACCGTAGGATCGTTGACTATGGACGATCCCTCGTTCTATAAAAAATATTAAAAAGAATGAGGTAAGAATGAGCCTATGAAAAACACAAAGCAAAATAAGCTGAGTTTTTGAGCAGAGCAGTGTGCAACTACCCGTGCGATGCATAAGGAATCGATCAAAGACTGGACTGATAACCACTATTCCTATTTGTTTTCGAGTAAAAAAAA